CCGGGCAGGCTCCTGGGAGCTGGTAGACTGCTCCTGGGGAGCGGTGGAGGGCTGGCTGCCAGTGGCTTGCTGGCTCATGTGTTGGGGCCACTGGGTCAGGGCAGTGACTGCTGGCAGGCTTGGGAGCTGGCACTGTGTCCAGAGTCAACCCCTTTAAGGGCTCTGGGGAGGGGGGAGGGAGAGGAGTGTTCTTGGTTGAGGCTGGAGTGGCCACCAGGGCACCCTGGGAAGGCTGGCGGACCCCTATTTCTATATAAGTGTCTACACAGCACTTATTTCGAAATAGCTCTTTCAAATTTGGCGTTATTCCTCGCAGAATGGGGTTTACCAAATTTGAAATAAGCGCTCTGCTATTTCAAATTTATTTCAAAATAGCAGTTTGGCTGTGTAGACGCTAGGAAAGTTATTTTGAAATAACTTTGCTGTGTAGACATACCCTCGGGAAACAGGTTTGGGAGGCCCAGGCGCTTCCTCAGACCCTTCCTGGACTTCACGGCTGCGGCCAGTGACCCAGACCTAGGTCCAACAGACTGGCCATGTGGTGCACTGAGCTCTGCTCGGGGTCAGCAACAGTCCAGCACCGCCCGGGCTTCCTCGGCGTCCCTCTCCCAACCTCGGACCCAGCCCAACCGAGAAGAGGAAGGCACCTTTTGCACGCCCGGCCTGTATCCAATTCCACAGCCACCCGCCTGCCGCCCCGCCCACCGCAGCATTAGTCTTACCTGCTGGTGGTCCTCTGGGACACAGCCCTGGGGGGCAGCAAGGGCGGCCGGCTTGGCAAGGCAGGCACCTTTAGGGAGAGGGGCTTGGTCTCCAGCTGGTGGCGTTTCATCGGCAAAGGGGGCAGCAGCGGTTTCTCCTTCCCTTCAGGGAACTCTGGCCCTAGAGCCAGCTTGTCTCTGGCTGGTGGAGGAGCAGGCAGCTCAGGGGCAAAGTCAGCGGAGGAGGGGGGTCCGGCGGGACAGGGGACAGCGGGGGGCAATTCAACAGAGACAGACCGTGGCGCTGAAGAGAACTTGACAGGAGGGCGACACCCCAGCCGCGGGGGGATGGGAGGGGGCACGTGGCTGAGGCCGGCAGGTTTCTCGGGCTCTGTGTGAAGAGGAGGCTTCCTGCTGGCCGGCGTGGCCAAGTGACCTGTGGGCTCCGGTTCTGCCTGGGTGGCCGCAGCATCCGTGCTGACCCGGAAAATGTTGCGTTTCATGGGCACTGGCCTCCTCATTGCCGGCTCGGGCCTCTCCGTGACTGGTGGAGCCTCCACAAAAGCCTTCTGGAGGCCAAAGAGGATGCGCTTGCGATGGCCTGGCAGCAAGATCCCGATCCGGGTCAGCACCTCGTCCGTCAGGTTCCTGCAGTCTGACACCTTCCAGAGCTCGTTCTTCTCAAAGCTCTCCAGGTACTGGTCCAGGTGAAGGGCTCTGAGCCATTCCGCCATAGACAGGGACGCCCCGTCCTCCATCGTGGGATGGGGGAGCCCTGCCGAGGAGACGGGTCTTACTCCACCTCAGTTCATTTCTCCGCCACGCAACGTGGTTCAAAGCGGCGTCCACGCCTAGAGGGAAACAACCAAAGAGCTTGTAAGACTGTGCTAGGCATCGTGGTAGCTGACCCAGCTGCTACAGAATAGGGAACCAAGCCTCCAACCCACCTCCTGCGTACCAAGACAATAGACATCACGGCAGAAAACAGGGAGGAAACAGTCCCTCCCTAGCAGCTCCGTCCTGCTATCCTTCCTTGGGTTGTCTCACTGAAATCTCATGCGATTGTTACCCCATTTTACAGAGGGGAAAACTGAGACCTGGAGACACTAAAGCCAATATTTTCATGAGACAGTTGAGATGAAAGTGGGCTGATTGGCAGCCTGGGCCATTCTATTCTATCCAGGTTCTTCCATTGCCTGAATCACCACAGCCTCCAGGCACCTGAGCCCCGTGAATGCCACAGACATCAGCACCACGGAGAAAATCAAGCCACACATTCAGGTCCCTAAGCGCAGCTTTAGGAGACTCCCTTCAGATGTTTTGGGGCAAATCTAGCAGTTTGTCCCCAAATCAGCTGGATCCAGCATGAGTTCATGCCATGAATGTCGCCTATGTACCCACAGAGCAAATCAGGAAATGAGGAAGCGCCCGCTTTGGAGTTAGCATCAGCAAAACGCACCTCTGAGAGTCAAGTATGTGCGACTGAGACAATTTCTCCAAAGAGAAGTGACATTAAACAGCCTGGCTGATGTCGCAGCAGGGGACGGACTGGAAGGAACACTCCCATGCTGGCTGGACCCGGTGAGCCAGTCTGGCTCTTCTGTCTCTAACTCCGAATGTTCCCATCAGGAGCATGCAGGAAAGAGGCAGGAGCAGGTGACTATTGGGGACCAGCACACACACATCAGACATCCATGCCCTGTGTACAGAGGGGCAGAGGGACATTCAGCAGAGGCAGAGTGGCAGCTGGATGGGAACCACAAGAGCAGGGACTGTTGCAATGTGGCAAGTGGATGGAAAGTCAAGCCAGTGCCCCTTCGAGGCCCACCAATTCTCAGAGAGATGCTCCTTTACCTCTGGCTTCTTACTCATGCTGCCAAAGCCTCGGCTGACAGAGCGTCAGCTGCAGCAATGAGGTAAAAGCCTTCATCATGCTGTCTGGAGAGGTGTAGCCAGACAAGAGAAAGACCTTCCATCCTTCAAGGTGCAGGGATTACACAGGTCAGACAAAGCTCCCCAAATCTCTTATTAATTGTTTCTATTTGTTTTATCACAGCACCTCAGAGACCCAATCATGGAGCACGGTGCTAGGGGCTGTACAAACCCAGAGCTAAAAGATGGTGCCTGCTCTTATAAGAGCTTATAATCTAAGAGACAACCAATGGATACCACCAGGCAGAGCAGGGAGTACCAGGACCCAATGGGACATTTGATCTGCAGGGTGGGCAGGGTTCTCAACACTCCAGTAGCCAGACCACAAGGGAACCTAGTTCTCCCCAAAATGCAACAAAATCCTCCAATAAACCCCCCCCAAAATGCCATGGTTTTCCACAATTAAAATGAAACACTGAGCCAGTTTCCCTTGCCACAATCTACACAGGTATCAGTTCAACACAATATTTTCTCTACGGTTGCCACTAACGCTGCTGGTTAAGCCTCGTCTGTGTTTCTTTTCTTTAGGTTTATGTTTAACGCTCTCCACATGCTCTACAATTACCTGCTTTCAAACATCATTTGCAGTTTGTTCTTGTCAAACTCAGGGATGCGGGCATTGCACGGGGTGTAAAAGTTGTCACTGTTTTTCATAACTTTACTGGCCTCTGTCTGGAGGCGGATGTGAAATTTGAGAGGCATGAAAAGACAAACCCCTATATGTAGCCGAGTAACCTCGATCGGCCAGAAGCAACTGACTGACGTGTGTTTAGCTATGTCAATGTAAAGCGCAAAAATCAACCACAAGCCATGGTGGTTGTGCACACTGAATGAGCAACAGATACCAGTACTCCATTAACAATGAGTGAATTGTTAGTATATGCTTTTATTTTTTCACACAATGTAAAAAGCAAAGATTCTCTGGGAAAATGTAAACTATTGGGGATGGGGGGTTTGTGGCAAATGGATTTCTAGGATCCTTGCTAACCGCTGTCCCCTTTTCTGTAGGCATCACGGCAAAGGAGTTCCGTGGAGGGATTTGAAGGAGAACAAGGAGGCAGCTTTGCACCCCTCCCAAGCACGAGGACAGAGGTGACATGGAGGGGGGCGCATGGCCAGATTTCTGGCAGGGTAGGAGTTGGGATGAGAGAGAGATGCCTAGGAAAGGCACCGGTACCTGCACTACCCCTTGGCCTCACTAGGAGGCGCCCAGCGCATATAAGAGAGATGGGGACTGAAACAGCCCAGCTCCACCAAAAGAGGTGCAGGGGTATCAGTCCTGTCCCCGTTACCTGTGGGGGGCCATGGGAGAAGTAAGTGCAGAAGGAGTGTGAGGGGAGTGGAAACATGGTGGTGCTGGCCTGGAGCGGCTGTGGGAGGGGGAGTGAGAAAGGGGCCAGAGGTGACACCCCAAACCTTTAAATTGTGTCCCCCACCTCCCAGAGGGACAGGTCGTCTCTGCGTGAGGGGCAGCAGGAAAGACAGCAGAAAGGGGCTTATTTGAATTTTTAGCTAGTGGGAAGAGAAGGCTGCATCAAGGGCTGAGGGGAAGCAAGCACAGCTCAACCATTGGATAGCAAAAGCCAGGGCCATCCTTCACCACACACAGAATATGCAGTTGCATAGGGCACCCGGAAATTTGGGGCACCACTGAGCCTTAAATATCCACCCACCCGCCGCTTCGTATCCCTGTTCCGTGGCTCTGCTTCCTCCGGGGAGGAGCTAGTTAACTTACCAGTGACACAGCCTGCCCCAGCGATGAGCAGACACTGAACCTGGGAACGAGCCACTCGCGTGGGAATGGAGCCATGTCACAGGCATGTGCCCACCCCAGAAACGTACTGTCAGTTTCTGAATTTACTCCCCAAGACCTTAGTTTAAAATGCGCTTTAAGAATACTTCACTGGAGAGTTGCTGGCGATTATACAAATCACCTCGCTACGTAACTGTTGTCGCCCCTGGCTGCCATGGGGCACAGGGCACCAGCTGGACAGTACTGCGTAGGCCCCCATCGATACTAAGGACAGCCCTAGAGAAAGGGACAGGATAGGTAGGGCCTGTGTTCCCATAAGGGCATGTCCAAAGTCCGGCCCGGGGGCCAATTGCGGCCCGTGTTCCGGTTTAATACGGCCCCACGGGTAATTTGGCAATATCTATCTTTTATGGCCCCCAATGAATCCATATGTATTGAGATGAATACATTGTAAAATCTCAGTTAAAGTCAGTTGGTCTAAATCAGTTATAAATATATTTGGACACAACATGTATACTTGGTGTTATGTTCCTGTTCATATTTTTTGAACTTAAAAGTTGACAGACAACCTTTATTACCAATAATATGTAATGTACTTTACAATGTTCCTGACATATATTTCAGCTTCCTGGATTTTTTTTCATCTGGCCTTCAGATATGAAAGGCAGAGTGATTTAACACCTGTTTAGATTTGTCATCCATGTGACGAAATGAAAAGTATGCCGTTTGCAATAAACTTTGCATAAAATAGTTAATTTGCATTTAATTTTAATGGTCCAAAGAATGTCAGGCAAAATGGTCGGCCCTCATGCATGTTCACTTCATCAAATCTGGCCCTCTTTGAAAAAAGTTTGGACACCCCTGCCATAAGCTGTGCGCTTCTGCCGCTGCTCAGGAGAGATTCCAGTGCTGCCCAGCTGAGTAGCAGAGCACTCACAGCTACCTGTTTTTGTTTCTACTGGTGGTGCACGTTTGCACATGCCTCGGAGCACGTAAACATTTTATTCCACACATGGACAGAAAAGACTAGAGAGAACATTGGTGGGGGTGACTGGGAGCAGTCTTGAGGGAACAGAAAAGGGGGAGCCAGGGGAGAGGTGCATAGAGAAAAGCAATACAACCAAACAGCAGGCTGGAAACACAGCCTGTGGATGGCTCTGAACGGATCCGAGCAGGGCAAGGTTGTATTTGTCAAGGCCGCAGAGAATGGCATTGTGGCAGTGAGGAGAGCCTAGAGAAATGGTTTTTGCCAGGAAAGGCCATGTCTTGTCAGAATGTCTCAATCTTGCAGATTCTGCCTAGAGATGTTAGCAAGTAGTTGACTACTCAACTACCCGATAAGCATAAGTCTATCAGGTAATCAAGGAGAGTACTCAACTACTCACTTCCCTCTGCCCTTACTGCCTCTGTGTGAGAGGTAGCAAGTGGGGGGGAGGGGAAAGAAGCTGGCTTAAAAGCCAGTTCTCCACAGCACC